CCTTTTTCGTAATGGGCAAATAGGAGACAAAAAGTGAGCTAATACTCTCTCGTACAGGGCAAAAATGTTGCTCGCGTCATGCTGCAAAAATTACTTGAAAATCAAGCTCGCTCCCCCGGCTGCTGCTGTCAAAAGTCCGGCTAGTCGGTTAAGGTCCTTATAAACAGGCTGTGAGGATCGCAAAAAAAACAAATCGCCCGGTGATTTTTTAGTTCTTCACTACTGTCTTTTCTGCCAACAAGTTTCTACTCATCTCCAACTTCCGAGTATTCCTGATCAGACTGATCCCTAGCGGTCTATGCCCAGGCGGACAGAAATGCGATACAATGCCTTTCAGGTTGCCTAGTGCTGTCAAGGTTTGTGACGCGCTACGATTCGATGCCACCACCACATCCCAATGAGATGCCAAAGTTGGGATTTTGCGGCAGTGGAAAAAAAAAAGTGCTGTTTATGCATCCTTTTTTTGGCAGACTCCTAATAAAAGCACAGCTGGCCCGCTCAGCGAGATAAACTGATCGTTGGCCACTTGCAAGACAGATTTGCAAGTAAGAGAAGCAAAAAAACATTAGAACTTGCCTCAATATTTGAGGCAAGTTCTAATGAAAAGAGATGCGTAAGTAGTGTATGTAGTGGTGGACAACTAAGACAGGTACCATTTTAATACGGTGCCTCTGTGATGTTGCTGACATTCAATTTTTTTCAAAGCAAAAACTGAGAAATACCTTCGAAGAACGAGTGCTGAAATGCCAGTGTTGATAAGTGGTAATTGGAAGAAATGCAATCGGTATGATAAAGAAGCTGGATGCAACGATTTGGTGTGGTTTGCTGCAGAAAAGCTGACAGCGAAACCAGCTGCTCGATCAGCGGGTAACAAAAAAGAAAAACCAGCGTCGTGCTCGATTCATCAAATTCAATTCGCTCCACGAATGTTTCTCCGTTTTCATACTACAATGCAAGCTGATGAGGAAAGTGAATGTGGGAACAGAAGACACATAAAAATCAGTAAATCGTAAAAGGGATTTTAGGAAGTGCATAATTATACAAGTTCAGGAAGAAAAACGGAACTCAAGGGGACGAGCTAATATTGAGTTTGAACTTACTCTACAATAATCATTCTAAACAAGAGGTAAAGTTACCCAAAGGCAATCCGAATGGTGACATGCGTGTCAACGCTGACGACCCACTAAGAAGGCTCACTCTTCCGAGAACTGTTTATAAGCTAAAGGTGGGATTAACTCCCTGGCATACTCCACCAGAACGAGTGAACGAATCGTAGACGAACTGGCTGTCCCACTGCGTAGTCGAACCCGTCTCTCAATACAGGAGTAGCGTCGATGCCACTGCATCATACTCTGCTTGCACTGTAAACTGAACACTGAGACTTAGATAGTTCGAAAATCAAACAAGAACCTGCGAATAACAGAATGAGAGTTAACGGGATCTAACGTGAAAAAGAGAAATAATATGAGGTGTAGTTTAAAAGATTAAAAAACGGTACCAGTGGCTCTGAAGTCTAGAAAGGCAAGTCTTAAAACCAGACTATTAAAGGACCGAGGGTTGTGCGCTAACATGCCAGTACAAATACAGATAGGAATGACTGCAACAAGTCAATAAGTTACAGGAATACGCTATACGGGTGCAATTTTCTTGCTATCGCCTCTTTTCTCCCTCTTCTGCAACCAATTCTTTTATTACGGAATTTTTGCAGCGAAAAAGGGGAAGGCCTGCTCACTACCAGCGGCGCAAGGATTTAGGAAGAAAAAACAACTGATACCCTAAAAACGCCAGGTCCATCAATCGAACCGCCCACCACCTCCCAAAAAAAAAAAATCGCAACTGTCACACCCACGGATTTCGGCAGGGATGCGATTATATGGCAGTTATGAGGCATTAATATTTTGCACGGCTCGACCAGAGTGCTTCTGCTCTGTGATTGGATGCTGCAAGGGAGAAAGAGGGATCACCAGTACCGTGTAAAAAATTCACCAGACCAGACTACCCACAAACACATCATTTTGTTCAAGAAACGAAAGCACAAACCAACAAATGGCGCTGGAGAGTGCGAACATTTGTCAGTATCACTTGGCAGTACTTTTTTCGTTCTTTCTCGGATGACCGGGCATCGAGAGCTGACGGTGTCAACAGATGCACTGAGCGCAATTCCAACAGTCTTTGCTGTGTATCATCAAAATCCACCCCTGCCATCTGGTCGCTGTTCCGCATGCACTGCAAATCAACAAAAGCTATTGCACAGCATACACATTCGTGGCAGTTCCACGCTGGTATAGTTAATCTATAAACAACGCATGCGTCTATGATGGTACTTAAATGCCGTTCCTGGCTCGATGAATGTCGAACAGTTGTTGCTTCACCGTTAATTACTAGTTGGAAGGACTCACAGCGACATTTCACCTTAATAAAAATTTTAATGATTTTTAGAGTACAATGCTGTAGAAATACAAATAGCTGCGCATACCCTAGCGGAAACTTCGGCTGCACGTTTCTCGTCACCAAGATAGTGCATAACCATTAAGCCATAATTTTCTCCTTTGAGAGAGAAACGATACTTCCTGAAAAAAAATGTCCCCCAGTCAGATAATGATAAAACAAATCCACAACTTTAAAGTGTGTTGTCGAAAATGACTGAAGAAATGATGTTTGTGAGCGCAAATTAATTTTGCACTTCTTGCCGGATGGCAGATTTGAGGAAAATATACTTGAAAGACGGATCGCCGGCTGGATTCGTCGGGCTGTAGAGGAAATGATAGGTGCGTAGAAGTTTATTGCCAACACTCTGAATCAGTTTTACACCTTTTGAGCGACCCCAACGATACCCATCATTGTGAAGGATACGATTCTGATCGATTCTGAAGACGTACACACTTCACGCATAGTTAACGCAATTCCCTCTAATATACACAGGCACCAAAAATAAAATCAATGGCGACGCGTACCAGGCGGACCAGTACGACCATGCGTTTCTGCATTATTTCGCGCTATAGCTAGAATTTGTGGCATACTGATCCTCGAAGTTCAGGAAGTTAATTATGCAGCTAATGTCGGTGTCAGTGTCAGTTAATGATGTTGGTTCCATTGACCAGACAAAGGGAAAGTTGCTGGTACGCAAATAAGATCCCACGAGGAGCATCAACCACTTCTTGTAAGCACTGCTTTTGCTGCAGTGGAAATGAATTTTGCTAATACTATGCTATAATGCAAATCTGCATAATCAGGAAAACACATCCCGTATGCACAGAATGATGTGAATTGCACCATCTCCCATTAAAATGAGTCTGGAAGAGCAGTATTCTAAGTCGTCGTCCACGTGGAATAAATAAGACCTCCTGTGACGCCATCTTTAAATGTGTCGGTCTTTATTCACCATCAGTATATCCTGTGATACTTTCCTCGTTCCCGAATTAGCGACTTTCCCGCCGAGACTTTCACGTGTCCGCGCGTGAGGCCCGCACTGTTCTAAGGACTTGGATTTGAAATCTTTTAATCATACATGAGTACCTTTAAATTATACATTGATAGAGAACATTCAATTAAAATTTCAGCTCTTCAGATTTTCTGGCTCCCAAGCTAGCAAAGTTCCCACCAAAATTCTCACATGCCTGTTACGTTAGTGCTACGCGTGTCTGAGTGCGTGTTTGAAATCTTTATGCTCTGCTTGGACAGGGAACATCTCATTAAAATTTAAGCTTTACAGCTTTTTTGCTTTCTGAGTTGGCAGTTTTTCCGCCCAAACTTTCACATGCTTAACATCAGTACTATGCACGCCTGCGCGCTGAATTCGAAATCATTTTTAAGTTGTACATGGGCAGAGAACACCCCTTTAAAATTCCTGCTTTCTATGTTTTCTGGTCCCTGATGTAGCAGTTTTTGCATTAAAATTTTCACATGACCCTACGTGAGGCACGAGCGTGTTAGGGGCTGAATTTGAAATCCTTTGGTCGTATATGAGTAGGGAACATTACCCTAAAGTTTCAGCTTTCTAGGTTTTCTCATTTCCGAGTTAGCAATCTTCCCGCCAAAATTTTCACGTGCCCGCACGTGAAACGCAGATGCGCGTGATAGTTGACATCACGTTCCTGGGTCGTAACTGGCCAGAGAACACATTGGCAAAATTTCAAAATTAAAGCTTGAGTGGCTGCTGAGCAAAAATATCCGGAGAAACGAACATAAACAAATATACATAAATACACAAACAGGGTCGTCGCAATATGCGTTTTTACTGCATGGCAAAAACACATAATCAAAGTAGAAAAAACGGATTATGTTCCAAAAAAAAGCCTCACATCCTGTAGCTCTGACTGAAAATGATTCTTACCCATGGCAATCGTATACAATAATTGTTCCTCCGGGAGGTCGCAGTTTTGGCATTTCCAGACTGATCACCGATGAGTCCTTTTTTGCTCGCTCTAAAATAAATCGCAGCAGGCCTGTGAAAAAATAACAATTTGGCTTTTGCTTCAACTTTTCCCGCAAAACCTGGCAGTCTTTAAACCCTAAAAACAATGAGTTGTATAATTTTTGCAATTTTTGCAACCACCACATGCGAAAGGAAAAAATTACGAAAGTACTTTTTTCTGAAACTTCCTGCCCTTCGACCTGGTCGTTCAGTGCACTGGCAAGTGGGAGTTATCCTTCAGACCCGAGTTTTCTGGTTCAGATCCGATAACGGAAAAACCAGTTCGTTAATTTGCTTCGATGATTAAATGTTATTACTTTGCTTCGCATGCAAAAGTCTAGTTCCTTTTAGCCTACCTCTCAAGCAGCCCTCAGAAGAACGAGAAATCACAGACAGTTGCGAGATATCTTTGCGGCTGACAGACGTGTTATCAGTTTGGTCACCTCCGAATGCCTTTGTCTCTAACAGTTATCAAAACACGGTAGGCTGGTTTGACATGATGCTACAATTTGAATTTTCTAGTCGGTAAGGAGCCTCATCGTGGTCCGGCAGTGAAATGGGGAGATTCAACAAGCACAAATGATATCTGGGGTGGCTACTAAAGCCATTCAAATCGCTTCAGCAGGAAGAAATGCACTTCTTTTGTGGACTAACGGAGGAGTTGTGGAAATCATAATCGCACACAAATATGCCAGCGTACCGGATTCTTAGTGAGAAAGCAGTCGCGTTATTGTCTTACTAGACCCATGACTGCTCTTTCAATGCAAAATCTCACCGGAACAAAAAATCCGGAACGCTGGCATACTTGCATACAAAGCTGTTAGTGTTCCAAGAAATTAAATAAAAAAAAAAAACACGAATGCATCGGCTTTCATTCATTCCAAAACATTTCCGAAGCAAATTTCGGTTTAACTTCTATTGTTACATTATCACTGTTCACGTCTCATTCATTAGGACCTGGCTTGTTACCAACAACATCGTTGTTATGTTTCCATTACCTAGCTGGATCTTAGTTCCTTCGACTACAAATTTATGTTGCTAGCATGAAATTTAAACGGCGGAAGAAAACTGGCGAACTCAAGCTTACCAGTTTTCATCCAGAATCTATTTTCTTGCTTAGCATCATAAACCCATTACTACTCATAACCCTCATCGCTGTTTTCAATTCCTGTCTCCCAATTAACATCTTGGCTCTCATCTATCCATATTCCTTCCCCTCTCTCCCGATCCCTTGAGGCCTAACAAGCATCCCTACTTGACACCTAACTCTACTCCTCCGACCATGCCATCCAAATCGAGGTCGAAACTGTAATTCAAATTTATCCATAATCCGAGGAGTATGCTACAACTTTCGCAACTCTACCACCAATTCACAAGATGAGTGCATTTTTCGGTGCTGAGCCAAATTTTAGTAACTGCCCATCGGGACAGTTAGCAACTGACCAGCACACGATGTAAAACAGCAATTATAATCCAAGCTGGGGCGCACCAGGCTTGCCGTTGGGATCATGCTTTTTTGTGCGAACTTGAAGCAATCAGATCATTAATTGTGTGAATGGTTGTTGCTTTACACCTGTCTTATGCACTGATTAGTGTAAAACATCGTAAATTTTGAGTAAGGAAAACGAACAATTCCCGTTTAACGGTCGTCCTTTAAAAATGATGCAGCTGTTCAGTGAGCAATTTCCCATCAAAACCTTTAAGTGCCTCTACGTGTGAAGCGAGTATACCTGGAGGTTTGAAATATTTAAGCAGTACTTGGGCGGGGAACATCCCTATAAAATTTCAGCCTCCCAGCTTTTCTAATTGCCGACTTAGCAATTTTCCCGCCAAAACTTTCACGCGCCTATGCTTGAGAATCAAACGCCTCAGCCCTTTCCCATCTCAACTTTAAGAATACTCTGAAAGCAAGCAACATTCAGCCTTCCCTTACCGAGGGTATCCGCGGCAAAAACCGGCAGCACATTTTCTCCTCCTTTCTACTCATCACCCCTCCTTACCTTCTAGTCCCCGAAATGTACGTGACCCGGCCAACCGACGAAGGAACCACTTTCCTCTCCGCCCCTCCCCCCTATCCACCTGCCACATTCGAACTCCCGCTATTCGACGTGTTGTAGCTTCGTCCACCATCGTCAGAAACAGTTTTTCGCAAACTGTGTATGACGCTGGCCAAGCCGAGTTTTGATCATTGCCAAACACCTTTCTGGGTTGGGTGCAAGCTGCCGAACTCACAGTCGTACACAAATGCCGTTTTTTTTGTCTGAGTGAAATTTTAGGAGTTGCACACAAACTCGCCAGCTTCCTAGCCGAGTATCACAAATAACTCCTTCCCTCACAATTCCCAACCCGTTACTAATTCCCATTCCAAATAAGGTTTCAGGTCCTCTGCCGCCAATAACCCCTCCCTGTTACTACGCCCCTCCCCGAGACCTAAACTACCACCTTCGGCCTCTTTCCTCCTGTACATCCCTATCCCTACCCTGCATCGAGGGGAAGAGCATCACAATCAATGCCTTGCAGCACAGCCGAACCGAGTTTACTAACTGCTGTGCCACGCAACTGAAAAAATTGCCCATTGCATAGCTGGAAGTTTGCGCCATGAAATAAAACTGACCGAAGTATCAAGGTACAGTCCAAATTAAATGAGAAACATACTGATTAGATCAAGATAGAAGCGATACGGATAGAGGTGATGGTGGCCCGTGAAACAAAAATTTGGATTGTAAGGATTCGGCGCCATTTCACGCTCATTCCTCACTGCATAAACGGCATTTCTTGCAGAAGTGAACGAAAATTCCTCTGGATCAAACCGCTGATCAATTTGCCGGAACGCATAAGCCGGCGTTGTGATGCGACACAATTTCATGATCGTTTGGCCATCGAGTTCGTTGTCGTCAACATCATTTATCTCCCTTTAACGCAGCTTCTGTTACAATTGCACAGAGCAAGACTTTCAAACAGCCCAGAAAAGATCGGCGCGCCTATGTGCCAGTAGCACCGACACCCATGCATTACTCAAAAAGTTTTTTAGAGAATATTCACAAACGTTTATGAGCAAATTCCCGCCAACAACTTACGACTACCATATAAGAAGTTCAGTGGCGCAGTTTAACATAAGCATGAAGCATCAAGGCCCTAGCGCGCACTTTTCAAAACAGCGGCTTCCGCAGTTTGCGCGCCCACTGCTAATAACAACATTTTCGGCGATTTACTTTTTATGCGTTTTGTGCTGTGTAACAGCAGTACAAAACGCATACTGTCACAGGGTCCTCTATGTGTGTGTCCCCCATTTTGTCCCGCACTTTCAACTCAGGAACCACAAAAGCTAGGCGGCTGAAATTTTGGTATAGTGTTCCCCGCCAACGGGTGACGCGGCACATTTAAATTCAGCCTTCCCGTACTCGCGGGTAACATGTACGGCTCCGTAAAAGTTTTTCGGGTAAAATCAGTATCTCGAGAACCACGGAAGGTAGAAGGCTGAAATTTTGTGAGCATGCCCCTCGCCCATGTGCTACGCAGAAATTTTAAATTCAGCTTTCCCCTGCCCGCGAGTAACAAGTACCGCTCTGTGAAAATTTTTGACGGGCAAATCATTATCTCGAGAACCAAGGAGTCTAGGGAGCAAAAATTTTAGGGTAATAACCCCCTGCCCACGCTCAACATTACCTCTTCAAATTCAGCGTTTCCGCACTCTCGGGTATCACCTACGAGCTAGTGAAAGTTTCTGCGGGCAAATTATTATCTCGGGAACCAAAAAGTCTACGAAGCTGAAATTTTAGGACAATGACCCCCTGCCCACGTTCAACTTTGCCTATTCAAATTCATCGTCCCCTCGTTCTCGGGCATCACCTACGGGCTAGTGAAAGTTTTTACAGGTAAATTATTATCTCGGGAATCACGGAAAGATATTCACCTTTCAAGGTCTCGAATTCAGCTTTCACGCGCAGGTGCGTGAAATTTCCAACTAGTGTTTACTGTTTCAACTATTTTTGCATAGACTAATGTACAAAGCAGTGAAAATCATTAATAGGCAATCGTTCGATGGGCTGAATTGC